CCCCAAAACCCCAAAACCCCAAAACCCCAAAACCCCAAAACCCCATGAATTGTAGACCATGCTGATATATAAATTTAGCCAAAATATAACAAAAGCAATATGGGTCAAGCTTGCTGAAGAAACGGAGTCACTATTAAGACAAAATTCTCTACTCCTGATAGGAGCGATGATAAACTCCAGTTCTGAATGAATGGAGAAAAGCAGTCAAGCAGTAATCTTAAGCAATTGCAAGAAGTCATTGAGGAAAACGATGAAGAAGAAAGCTCTACGATGGGTAAGTAAAGAGTTTAAAAGAAAGAATCTACCCTCTCTAACTTTTGAGCCTTCCTATCTAAGACAATGCCTAGCATGGCTATTCACAGAGAATAGGTGCTCAGACTCTTAAATACATTCATAGGAATTTTTCTTCTCCGATATTGTTCAATACTTTCAAAAGTGTAAGGAGATCCTTTTGGCCCTTGTAGTAGGATTTCTTCCTAACACGTCAAGTTCCTCTATTTTCCTTCTCTGCATGAGGTGCTGGCAAGTATGCGAAATCGTAAAAGTCTTCTTATATTAAAACTATTGCTTTCCGCAAATTTATGCATGTTATACGGCATCTGATAGCATCTACTTTAAGAAATGCGCATTTGAAAGCCAAGGTTCTTGATAAGGCCCCTTGTTTATGTGCTTTCGCTCTTTTTAAGATTGTTATCTACATTTTAAGCTAAATCTCTGCAAATATGTTGACACTAGTTATCCATAAATGTATAATATTGCTCTAGATGTCAAAGCCACTGAGAAGAAGAGAGCATTTCAAATATTTAACCCCAATGATATCAAGAATGGCTTAAAATAAACTCAGAGAGAACAAAAAGAAAGTGTTGGACCAAGCTATCGCTAAAGAAAAGATGTGTGAAAGTCAGAATGTAAGTGTTCCACCTAACTTTATGATTCTTGGGAAATACTACTTTGATCTCTGTTTTCTCTTGGAGAAGGTAACAATTTTGACTGGATTTTGCTTTCTTTACTTTGCCAGTTTATTCCTGTGAAATGATCGAGGTACTGGCTAGCAAAGTAAAAGAGACTGAACAAAATCTAATAAATTTTCTATTAAAATATAACTTCTTACCAAGGTGAACTATTATGAAATTTTAGAAATTGGAAAATATATTAAGTTGTCACTCATTAAGAAAATTTAATTCTTATCCTCAAGTTTCCAAACTGATGATTACTGAGTGCATGAAGCCGCTCTTCATTATGAAGCCTCTCTAAAACCTAGGATACTTAATTTGAATGGAAATTTTTATTTAAATATTCTTTATAATTCTAAAAGAAAGAAAGAATTTTTAATAATTCAGAAATCACTTGTAATTTCGGTTTTATTACAAATTTCTCCAAACAGTTCTTTACAGTGGTTTGAATAGTTTCGAAGCTGTATTTGTAGGATCTATTAACCACCAAAATTCATCATACTTACATTCCTATTAATGGTACAATGGCCGTTTGTTAATTTTAGTCTTTTCTCAAGACATCTGTTTATTTTAATCGACCATTCCTTCTGTGGCCTTAGCAGTAAAAATGAAGCCATGAAAGGTGAGATTCTCCGTAAAATTTGACATTTTCAATTGTTAAATCTCTTTAATGGACAAGGAAATTTCTTGTTTGTGAAATTGGTCATAATTTCATCAATAGAGAGATGAAGATACAATTGATGAAGCTACGCCGACTCACAAGTCTAAGATCGCATCATCAAAATATAAAAGACCAGAAGATAGCAAGTCATCTTCTCAATGTCTCATGGCTGATCCCAAGTGAGTCATGGAGAAAGAAGTCAGCAATAGAGGTAATCTAAATTTTGAAGCTGCTGTGAGAAGAACAAGGAATGTATTGCGTAGCATTAAAGGGGAGTTGTACTCATCTGATTCTTCACAAAGCTCTTCAATAGAATCAGAAGGGCTTGAGTTCAGACTTGGGGATTATATAGATACTGGTTCTATCGGTGCTACCTATCGAGCACTAGACTGAAATACTGCCAAGCTAATCACAGTGAAGTACTTTGATGTTGAAGGACTTGAGGAATCAAAGAAATTCGAGTATATTGATAGACTCAATAAATACTTATCAGAGATTAAGGCAATGAAAGACCCTAATATTGTAAAATATATCTCGGCAGAAGAGGGTCAAGAGGAAGGTGGAATGGTGGCCCTTGCCATGGAATACATTCCAGGAGGATCAATCATGTATCTCCTCAAATTCTTTAAATCCTTTAAAGAAACATTAGTGAAAATCTATGTGAACCAAGTTGTAAAAGTTTTGAAGAGACTCCATGATAAAGGTATAGTCCATGGAGATCTTAAAACTTCCAATCTGCTAGTAGATGATCTTGGAACAGTTAAGATATCAGACTTTGGGTTCTTAAAAACGTTGTATAATGAATATTGTCCTGAAAAAGTCCATAACTTGGCTGATACGATCTATCGACATCAAGATGAAGATCTTAAAGAAAATTTAGCAACAGATAAGCCAGAATTAGAGCTTTGAACTAAAACTAAAAAGAAACTATTGACTCCACTGGTGAATTCTTACTTCACCTGCCCTCCAGAAGTACATAAGAAGGAATGATATTCACTTCATCCCAGCTATGATGTCTGGAGTCTTGGCTGAATCACTTATGAAATGCTTACAGGGGAAATGCTTATGTATGATAGTAGCAATCTTGAGACTATCCAAGTCCCTGAAACATGTTCAGAGGACTTAAGAGACTTTCTGGCAACTTGACTGGAATGTGATCCTAAAAATAGAGCAACAATAAAAAATTTAGTGAAGCATCCTTTCCTTGATATCGAAGAGAGGACTTTCCAAGAATCTCATGAAACCATTAGCTTTATGTCTCTTTATAGCATGGTTGCTCAAGAAGGTAGCCAAGAGCCTAAAAGACATACAGAGAGTGTTGAAAGACTTTCAATTCTTCAAAAGAGAAGTAAATATCAAGAAAGAGATAGCATACTAAGTTCTTATAAAGTATCTCCTCAGCTTTCAAAGAAGCTTGGGTTAGAGTCAGCTCAAGACAGGAAGGCATCTCTAAGACACGTAAACATTGGTAAGAACTCAATGTTCCCTTTTCTTATCCTCTAACCATCTTTTAGACATCGAATCTCTCAAAAGGTATTCAAAGAACAGCATCATGCTTCAGTCTTTGACAAATATGAAACCTGATGATCTGAACCCTCCCAAAATCCCTCAGCGCAGCAGTGAAGAACAGATGTTTGAGTCTTCAAAGCTCACTCTCGTTCTGAAGAAAATCCAGGCGAAGAATTAATATTAAGTACAACTTTGTTAAGAATTTGTTCGTAATCTTTACCTTTTCCTCGGCCAAGAAGCCAAGCTTAGAAGCTGAATGTGATTAAGCAGAGAAATTTTATCAATAAGACATTTTTGAGGGTTAATAGAGATAATTTTAGAAGATTTCATTTGAATTAGAATGTATTGGGGTTTTGGGGTTTTGGGGTTTTGGGGTTTTGGGGTTTTGGGG